GCCGGGGTGTATCAATTTTGAGTAAATTAGCGTCCTTCAATTTCGAAATATTGAAGTTTCAAGCATTTCAGAAATTTACCGTTATATGAGAAGCGGCCGTTATTTTAGTCCGATTTCAATAATTTTCAACGTTTTGCTTATATGTGGCAAGCACAATAACCACACCGAGTTTGGTACAAATTGGTAGAACGGTTACCGATATACTTATATGTGATCATAAGTGGGCGGTGCCACGCCCATTTTCCAAAATTTTACCATAAACGTATTTCTTGGTAAAGAATTGTTGCAAGCATCAATTTTGAATAAATTAGCTTCAATATTTACTGATTTATCGAGGATTTCGTATTTCTCGAAATTACCGTTATATGGGATGTGGGCGTGGTTATTGTCCGATTTTAAAAATTTTCGGCCATTTGGTATGTTGTGCGAAGGCCAACAACTGTGCCAAGTTTGGAGGAAATTGGTGCAGCGGTTACCAAGATATACACATGTAACCATAAGTGGGCGTGGCTACGCCCATTTTCCAAAAATTTATAATATTCTTATTTTTCGTCTAAAACTTATAAATATCAATTTTGAGTGAATAATCTCCAGTAGTTACTAAAATATCGCAGTTTTCGTATATCTGAAAATTACCGTTATATAGGAAGTAGGCGTGGTTATTGAGCGATTTTAAAAATTTTCGGCGATTTGGTATGTTGTGCGAAGGCCAACAACTGTGCCAAGTTTGGAGGAAATTGGTGCAGCGGTTACCAAGATATACACATGTAACCATAAGTGGGCGTGCCTACGCCCTTTTTCCAAAAATTTATAATATTCTTATTTTTCGTCTAAAAATTATTGTAAATATCAATTTTGAGAGAATTATCTTCAGTAGTTACTAAAATATCGCAGTTTTCGCATTTCTGGAAATTACCGTTATATGGGAAGTGGGCGTGGTTATTGTCCGACCTCGCCCATTTTCAATACCAACCTACCTTGGATTAACAGAAACCTACATACCAAATTTCGATGAGATATCTCAATTTTTTCTCGAGTTATCGTGTACACGGACGGACGGACAGACGGACAGACGCACAGACGTACAGACGGACAGACGGACGGACAGACAGACATGGCTTAATCGATTTCTTTTTTCATTCTGATCATTTATGTATACATTTGTCTATATCTATCTCGATTCGTTTTGGCTGTTACAAACAACCGTTATGTGAACAAAATTAATATACCGTTGTGCACAAGTGCGCTCGGGTATAAAAATTAAATTATCTGGTGATTATATTGGACTTATAACTTCATTCGTACATACAGAAGGAAAGGTTACCGTCCTTGCATGGGTTCAATATAGGATAAGTTAAATTTTTGATGTTGAGTACTTTAAGAAATCATCTAAAAGTATAAAATGGGTATTTATGTCGGTAAGTCTGGAGTTTTAGAACAAAACGGCACCTGCGACATGCTCAAAGCGAAGCTGTTACCCGGTCAGATGATTTAATGATTAAAACTTCGAGGTAAAATCCATGCGAAATCGCAATCATCTTGAAAATTCTTCTTAATATCATTATGCTATGGCACCCTTGTCTCATATGGAAATTAATATGAAAAATTTTTTACCCCATCCATATATTTC